AACCTTTATTTTTTCAAGTAAATTAGTTTGAGATTTCCCCGTAGGCGTAAATAGGCGTTCGACGAACACCTCCTAGAAAGCAAAGTCGTGGTGCTCAATTTTCGGCGTTACCTTAAGATGTCAAACACGAACTACAGATTTGACATGACAGCTGCGTCCGCGGTCGATCGGGGCTAGTCTTCTTACTGGTCGAATACGAGTCTTAGCCTAATGCTCACGCAGCCCTCTTGTATTGCCTGTTCCCTGCATTGGCCTTGTTTAGGTGACGCCTGAAATTCAGCACTGAGGTATCCTTATATACGGCATGTAAACTAACGCATTTAAGGCGCTTTGGACGGCTGACAAAACTCGGTTTCTCAACGTATCGCACTGCGATTTACTACAAAGGTGCAAGCAGGTGGTTGAAGCTTACAGAGAAGAAGTCAAGAAATGGACTTCCCTCTCTCAAGGGGAAAAATAAAGAAACCTGAGGCCAGATTCATAAAAAACCTCTTACCTACGACAACTTAGCTACGAAGTTCGTAAAGTTACGATCATCGTAAGATGAGGCGAGAACGGTATTCACAAACGCGTTGTTAAGTGAGAGGAGGAAAGTTACGACCTCTTGCGGAGAAACGATGACTTCCGGTGCTGTTGCTATGGCAACGGCGTCTTCGGCAAAACGAACAACCAATTAGAGAGCTAGGCATAGTTCGGAGCACGTGGATTTTTAATAACAAACACAGGCTAACCACTCGTTGATAGACAGCTCTCTGTATGTCCTGTCCTGTCTGTGTGTAAATGTGTAGTGTTCAAGCTGATTCTCATAAACACGGGCGACCTTTCCACCACCGCTTGTCTGGGGTTCGTGTCCGTGCAGTGGCATATCGACGCTAACACGATTTAAACGCTTCGTTGACTGCTACAAACTCGATCGCTACGAAGTCAACACAACTTTCATCGTTGGTAAAAGCCCCGTGCCAGTCGTTTGCAAACCGACGTAGAAGGAAACAAACCGCCGCGGCGTTTCTCGCGGCCTCGGAAATGCAGGAGTGAGCCGACGTGTAAATAGATACGTTTGAACTACGAGGGTGTCAGCAAGAGTCACGCAAATACCTGTTCACACTCGGAGCGGACTCGTGCGTTTGATCGAAGTGCTGGATTCAGACTGCGTTTCGGTAAGCGCTTCGGGACCGATCTTCTACGATTGCAACTCGATACTGACGTGACACTCGGCAGGGAAAGGTTGAACCGGCATCACGTAGCTCCCCCAAACTGATACAGCTCGACAGTTAAAAATGACATACTAATAACAAAGTGTACATACCGTTTTGCGAAGGTAATCCATGCGGCGTTTATTTGAGCTCTATATCACACAAAACAAGGAGATAGAATGGAGGAGTCCCTTTTCGACGACAGCGTTCGTCACCGCTGCCTCGGAAAACAAGGTGATCGAGATGATAAGGGGAATCGGTTGACCTCTGAAATTTAGTTCAGCTATCAAACTATTCATACGGGGAGGGTCCACAAGGGTCGCGCGGGCATATTCCATTCAGCAAGCCAGCCGGTCGTGGGCAGACGGTCTTGGCCAAGGACCGTCTGAGCAATGCTGCCTTGGAACGGGTCGGAGTGCCTGCTAGGCCTATATATTCTGCCGAGCTCGCTTGTCGCTTGGTCCGTGGGATCGTCGCCTTTGTTGCCTTTTCCGGGTGTCTGTGGATCCAGCGTTCATGTTCGTCGTGGTCGGTTTCAAGTACTTCTTCATTTTTTTCTTGCTGCTTGAAGTCGGGACGCGCATGAAGAGCAGGTAGAAAAATAAATTTCCGTTGGGTCGTCGCGACCGAGCAACTGAGCGACGTTGTCGGCCATGTTAATTTGATCGTAGAAAGTGCGTAAGACAGATTCGGAGCTGTCGTAGGATTTTGTCGTAACCTGCGCAAAAGTTACGACAATTTCGTTTCGAGAATGCGGATTTTCTCTCAAATTTGTCGTACGCATTTTTTTCGTCGTAAGTTCGCTTTGAGAATCCGGTCTCTGTTTCCCCCCAGGGCGACCTCGGCTCTCACTTCGCAGACTTGCGCGCGTGGTGATAAGTGCTGCCAACAGATGGCGCACGCCGCGTCGAGCGAGCGCCGGCCGTCTCGGGTTATGATAGCAGGCAATTCCGCAAAGGCTCCGAATCGGTCGACGGTCCCTTGGAAAGCCTTGGTTTTAGAAAAAAAAAATGCCAACTCAAACCATGGGGAACGTTCGCAATTTAATGGCGGACGCCTCTCGCTTCCTCCCGCGGAGATTGGTCACAAGTGCGCTTCCGCTGCGTTTTCGCCTGACGAGGAATAAAGCAGGCGGAAACGCGGAGACGTTAGCAGACGATCAACGCTTTCGGTGACTCCTCGCAACTCGTATTGCAACGCGGCCCATAAAAAAACACGACCCAGTTGGAAACTGTCTCTAATAGAGGCTCTCTACGCTCCCTCGACGTGGTGTATGCAATCTGTCGGCAGCACTTTTCACTACCCGTGCGTCTGCGACGTGGCGGCGTAGATAATTTGAAACAGGTTTCTGCTGTTGTTGTTTTTAAGGAGATTTATTATTTTCTTTCTTTTTTTGTCACTAAACTTTCACCGCCTGTTTGCATATCCGTGGTCAAATTATAGCGTGCTACGTTGAGAAAACAATTTTTGCGGGCCGTCTAAATTGTCTTCAAGTGTTAGTTCTCATGCTGTACAGTCGCTAAGAGCATAAGAAACTGAAGGCGTGTCGAGTCTCGGGCATTTAATATTGCTCCTCAGTAAACGATCTTCAGACGTCAGTCATTGGGAGGCCGAAGAAGGATTCACAAAGCAAAGGAACTTATTCACAATAGGCCACGCCACGCGCTTCTTTAAGGTGTCGGTGCCTTTAAAAGGTGTCGGTTCGACTATTTCAGTCCCCTCGTCCGCGGATATGTCAAGGGTCGCATAAATAGATGACGTGGTAGCACGTGAAGCATAACTCATGGATGTAAATTGCGGTTTACGTTCGTCGTGTGAATCGGCCGTAACGATCCATTTTTCGGCGAGCATTCGGGTTCGGATTTGTGGCCAATTAAGGCGGATATGAAAATCACCGTATGTTATCAATAGAATTAATTAATAAAGCGATGTTTGTGGTGAAAAAATACAATGACGGTCTCGCTACTAAGAATCAACGATATCTAACGCGATAAGGAGCACAACGCAAGCAAACCTTTACCAACTGACATACGTGGCAACGCTGAACATTGTTGACACGAACAGATGAAGAACACCTGATAGGTTTTATTCAACATGGGCTAGTTAGGTCAACGCTGATTGGTGGTTGCTAGTTTTTTAGTTTTTTTTTTAACAAGTGTCACGGAAACTAAAAAAAAAATTGCTTGAGAGATATTATGAACGGGAGGCACTCACTTGATCGAATGACATTTTAGCGAACGCCGATGTTTCACCCAATGACACTTCAGCGAATTGTAGGCCGCCTCGAAGCAGCGTTTACGGGTGCGCCAAATGGGTTCACACTTTTGTAATGAGCCGTAACAGACTGCAGCCGCGAAGCGCCGTAAGCGCAAAGGGAAGGGGGGGGGGGGGGGGGGGTTAACACGCGCTTCCGTTATTCGCTACAACATCGATTCGCTCAATTGTCGCTCTTCGCTGAAACATCATTCGCTCATGTGATGTGAATCCTTCTGTATCGACGACTATGTTCAAGCAGTATAATGAAACATAAAGAAAACAAAATTCAGGGTCCCATTGACCCACAGACAAATCAGTATTGAGCATTTGGCTATCACAAGAACAATATATAAAGGAAAAGTCATAATAACAATAAAATTATATATATATGTATTTGAACTCGTACAAGTGTTTACTCACCGGGTGTGTCTTGCCATAGACTTGACTAATTGTTTTAATTCCAAAGATTTAACGAGAACAGAAAAAAAAAAAGGATTGTATGTTCAATACACTAAGCGAAAAAGTAAATATTTCAATTTACCACAACACTGCTTTACAAGAAAACCAACCCTTTTGTTTCGTTACAGGGTAGCGAAACATTTATCATTAAACTTTTTTTTTTTCAAACTGAAATGGTTTAAATATATTTTTCTTTGTAAACGCGTTAAAAAGAAACCCATTGATTAAGATTTTGCAGAAGATTCAAATACCATTAACCAATATTACACTCTCATCAAGCGATCGAGGATCCTTCGCAATAAAAAGCCAATTCTTCAAACCATCCCGTCGACAGCTTTCCCAACTTTTAGGTTACGCCTCTCAAAAACTGCAACAACCTAGTCGTTTCCATGCATACTCTACACTGCATACTCTACTTCCGCGTGCATCCAAAAAACAAAATAAAAAAAATCCAACTTATCTTTTGAAGGAGGAAGGGGGGGGGGGGGGGCTTGGAACGTATCGCGGAGGTAAATAAACCAGCCGGCGGCGATCTCTCGAAGAACCGGGCAGACGGCGTCGGATGCTCTCCCTTTCTTTGTCTTCGATCTACGCCTAGAGCAGTGGGATCGGATTCAGGCGCGCGCTAGCCCGCTGGAGGACTGCCGAACGACCTAAGATAACCGCGCCGCGAGCTAGCTGTTGCGTAAGATCGCGGTCATGACAACGGGCACATAACAATTGACCCGCGCCCCATCGGCGTTCGGATGCTCTGTGCGACGCGAATTGAAGCGGCTGCGGCGGCGGTCGGGTTCGATTAATGCAAAGTCGCGCTGTCTTCCCCCCTATCCGCAGCGGTAATCCGAACGCTTCTTCGACCCACCGCGCGTGTTGGGTAGGGGGTTCCAGCTGCTCTTTTTTACTCCGGTGAGCGAATTAAGTCAAGGGGACAGGAGCCGCGCACCGTTCGTTCTCAATGAGTGGAATATTGATGGCCTTTTCGTGGAGCGGGCGGGGATTAGCGCGTGCGATGCTGGGAGCCGGGCGCATCTCGATTGTGTATATAAGTCGGGATGCGGCGCTCTCTTTCTCCACAGTGTTCTCCGAATCTCAGTGAGATAGATAGCCACAAGTGCAACCATGCTCGCTAAGGTGAGTTTTTTGCTCCGACGGATGCGATGGATTCGAACCGACGTCGTCTTGGATTTAGGCGTCGCGTTGATTCATCCCAATTTATTATTTTCTTTTGATAAGTTCATATACGCGCTAATTTGAACTAACTTGAGGAGCGGATTCAACTGCTTTATTTATCGACCCCCATCGAAGTGAGCCGAGAACCTTAGCGAGGAGCTTAAAGGACGTCTGCTATTTCCTGTTTTTTTTTTTTTTTTTTTTTTCTTCTTTTTCGGATTACCCTTTCGCACAACAGAATGGCAGACAAAGTAATTTCACTTGTAAATGACCCTCACATATTTATTGATATTCCCAGATAATTTTAATACCAAATTCGCCATACATTAAGCTTGTTGCCCGCGACCGCCACTCATGTAATCTCTGGGTTCGATCGCCACGAGCACCTTCGCAAAATATATCAGAACTCCCCCATGAGATCTTTTCGGCGTAGTCCGTCCACCGGGCGATCCCTCTTACGCAGCATAAGGCGATCATCTTTCCTTTACAGAGAAACTCGCAGAGTTCGTCTACGGCGACGACGTCTCTGGCAAACTATTTCGCTGCAGCCCGAAAGAGCCAGATCGAAATCAACTGCCGTGAGAGCAACAGATAAACAATACGCCTCTACAGGTTCCGATCGCCGGAGCGCACGTAGAAAAAGGTTATTTAAATAACGTTTGAACAACGACAACAAGCTCGTTCTTAACCCATATTGACATGAGGTATTCACCGTCAAACGAGATAGGCCGCAAGTTCTATTCGGACTTTAAAAAAAACTTAGCTTTCCGTGTAGAAGTCAACTTCACTTGCTGATAGAGACGGCATATTAATGACCAAAGTGCTGGCCCTCCGTATTGAATGATATATTCGTTCTTGAGCTCTCCCTATTTTATACCCGACTTATATATGGACTGGAAAATGGAGGATTCTCACGCAAAAAGGGAAGCTAAATTAAAACTGCAATTACAACAGAGTCTGCTGACACCGCAATCGGTGTTCTTTGCTGCATGGATTTAGTATAAAATCTTAATTAAATAATTGCTTGATTTAAGGGCGACTAAAATACAATGCTGACTTCAAGTAAAAGTAACGACCCACATTCGCCAAATATCGTTTGAAATAATTCTTGCACGCAATAAAATTTGAAGGTTTTGCAAAACGTTACTGGTAATTACCCTCAGCATGCTCAAGAGCTACTACTACGTTCAGCTTCAACCTGCTTACAGTATGTAACGAAATAACGATGTGGCATCAACGTCAAATAAACACAAGCACGACTTGTTTGGAAAATTTTTAAGCATCAATGTTTTTACTTCTTATCTAGTACACATGGTCGAAAAAACTACCCCCCCCCGCCCCCCAAATAAAAAAAAAATATATATGTATATTGCTAGAACTACAACAATTAGTTCCGCAGCACACTGACAAAAGTGCAGGGGTTATGACCAGTCATGCATTATATATTATTAGCTGTAAGCTTTGGAATGGTTTGCTAACTCATTCGGTGTTATTCCAAAGAGTCGGTCGTTCTCTTTCCTTATAATTTCAATTTAGTAGCCCATTCATCTCTCGTCTTAATACGAGAAAATTCTCACTGCCCTGCTAAGTGTTCGCGTAGGTTGTTTAAACTTGAAACGCGTGGTCAGTACTGAGCAGCATTTCCGAGCACATCCTACGATCGTACCAGATGTCGTTATAGTACCCTGAGATTCTGAATTCGGGAGGTCTTTGTAACCGAACACGATGCGCACTATTTTTTTTAATCTTCGTAATACTAACGCTTCAAGTCGCTCTTCTGCTAGACATTATCCTGATGCATTTTCCTCAAGCCACACGACGATACGATCTAAGGAACTTGATGGAAGACTTCAGTGCCGGGGTCTAACACGATGCTCCGATCGGTCGTCTTCCAATGGAGATAAAGCTCTCCACCTGACGAACTACAGGCGACATTCTTGTTCATGACCTCGACCGGCAAATTTTTAACACTCACAAGTCTTCTTGCAGACATAGGGAAATAGACCCTCATCCTCATTTTATTGAGTAGGTTTTGCCTACGCGCCTTTTTGCACTGTGTAGTAAGCGCTAGCCAAGATACCACGTGGCAAGGTGCGCAGAGGGCGGGCCAATTACACCCATGGCACTAATATTTAGTATAAAACATTTACCAGAAAAGTGAACTCAGCATCAGCTGCAAGAAAGCCATCAATGCCTTTAACGTGAAGGTCGTCCACGCGTGCTCGTGGAATTCTGGGTCTTCCAAGCCCACGTGACCGTGCCTAATATCCTCAGATTTGCGTAACGCACAGCTTCGAAATTCACTAGAAATGTCACGGTAAGTTTAATTTCTCAGCAGAAAAGGAACGACTAACATGCTTAGTTGTTAGGTCAAGTTACGAATAACGGTATTTTGTTACTTTTGAGAAGTAACATGGACAACGCAGTTTAAACTACCTCATTTTAATTCCAACCGCAGTATGCGTTTATTGCCAGAAAGGAAGATGGGCAACCCGAGAAACAACTAAACAGTATGACAGTGTAACAACGTTTCTTGCTCAACCCGTCAGTGAAACTCTTAATCACAGAATGTCCTTCACCCTTCAAGAAGGTTGAACCTTCCAGAATCGTGTAGAGACTGAGTGTAAACCCGGAGGTGGCCAACACGGGAAGGCACAGAACCCACTGTCCACTTGAAACTTTAGAAGCAGAGAAAACAAAAAAGGGGAATCCCAGATTCACCCGCTCTCCCTTAAACACAACACGGCCGTTCCTTCGAGCACATAATTAGAACGACTCTTCCGCGTCGTCGGAGATGTATTCTTAAAAAAACGTGGAAATATAACTAATGAAAACTTGCAACTGCTGGGAGTACAACGACTACCGAAAGGAAAATACAAACCCGTGAAATAGGAGCAGTTGTGTATTTGGTCATGAAAGTGACGAGAAAAGTAACTCGTTACATTGGAGGTAAAGTAATGCGCTCCTTTTGAGAGTCGGTAACGAGTAACGTATTTAGTCACTTATTGAGCGAGTAGCGAGTAACAGTATTTAGTAACTTTTTTGGTTGTAGCGTGTACATATCTGTATATTAGTACAATCACGTCTACTGTTGCCGCTCATCGTAATACTAATTATACTGTCCTCTATTGTCCACGTCTTAAATATATAATATCCTTGACTGCACAAAAAAGCTACCGCAGTATATTTGTAAAAACACCTGTTCCTTCAATGTTAACAATGCGCGTCATGAAAATAAATAAAAATGCATAAAATATTCATCAAGCAGTAACAAACATGACATAATGTTCAAATCTGTACAAGACGGCGTTACGTAATCATTAAATTGCAAATCTTTTAACGTGAAACGTTATTTGGCTAGTTGTTCCGGGTTTTTTGAACCCGCATTGAACGGATTAAGTGAAGCCGAATTAAGTTTCCCCGATAGATTTAGCTTAAAAATTGAGGTCACGTGACTGAATTTTCTAGCTAAATCTAGCGGAAAAAGAACATCACGTGACATGATGTCATGTGACCTATGCAGAAATTCAGTTTCCCGCTAGATCTAGCGGGAAATCTGACGTCACATGACCACAACGCCGATTCGATTTCACCGCTAGATTTAGCGGAAAAATTGATGTCACGTGATCTCAAAACCAGTTCAGTTTCCCCTCCAAATTTAGCGGGAATCATGACGTCACGTAGCTTCGTGTCATGTAACCTATACGCAAATTCAGTTTCCCCACTAGAATTAGCGCGAAAATTGACGTCACATTCCCTAGACAGATTCAGTTTCCGCGCTAAATTTAGCGGGAAAATTGATATTACGTGTCCTGATTTCATATGACCTCTACACCAATTCGGCTTCCCCGCCAAAGTAAGCAGGAAATATACAATACATGACACAGACTGCATATCGGTGTAGCCACGAGGTGCAGCTGCAAAGGCTAAACGCTTGTGATGCTAGAATCTCACGCATCCAACAGAATCGCCTTCCAATTTGCCATATGTTTTATAGTAAACTATTAAAGATGGAAGCGGCAGCAGCAATATATGTATGGGTACGTCAGTAGTTTGATCAATGTTCTTCATGTTATGCTTGCCAGACGAATTTGTCGTACCTGAACATTAGGCCAACATCTTTGAATAAACAGCCTTGGGGTTAAAATTACTATTTATAAATTTTACATCAATGAGATGAGAGGTCTATTGTTTATAAAAGTTCCCAATTATAAAACGAGGCCTGTCGTAGAGAAAATGAACACTTTTAGGTGATGTCAACCGAACATTGGTTTAAGTGCGAGTCATACCTTCCACCTAACATCGAAGACTCATATGCGAGACAGCTTTTGATTAGTTTAAATTAACGACGGTTGTTTCTGCAAATTCAAGCAATTTAGATAAGTGTGAAAAAAGAAATGTCCAATATTTATTAAACTTGCTATCAAGCCAAAAGTAACTCAGCATTAGAAACATTTTTTGAGGGGTTAACATGTGTCTGACTCAGTTAAGCTTAGTAATAGCAAGAACGTCGCTAATGAACAGAAACTGCATTCTTCGAAAAGGCAGGCTAGCATTTAACATCAGCTAGTTACAAACATCGCTCCATAAATAAAAATAAAAGTGTTATAGTACCTGAAAAAATATCACCCAATTATATTGTAGACACTAACATTTAGAGGAAACAATAACAATTTCCTCTGTATGACGTCATATGTTACCACAACCACTACTACTCGGTCGTACTTGGTTACTAGTGGCGCCATCCGGTGTGCGGTCTTCGCAACCACGTTTCTTTCTTCTGTATCGTTTTTTGATAGATGAGTCGCGAATGCATGTCACGCACCAACAATGTTACCGCAACAAAAAAAAATATTTTGCTATACTAGTATTTACGTAGCAGGACGCACACTATTAAAAACCATCAAGTATCGATTGTTAGTTGCGACTTAAAAACTTTCGTAGACGTTTCGAGCGCAATGAAAAGAAAGATCTACGTTCAATTCCCAACGAGGCTAATCAAAATAGGCATTAGCAAGAGCTTTCTTTATCGTGGACACCGAGGCCTGCTTTCTCCCTTTTCCTCAGAAAATGCTAGATTCGTATAAGTGACATCATTTCTATCTGGGAATTCAAAAGGAACGCCTCTCTTGCGGCTCTTCTTTTTTTTTTCTTCTTTATTTTTCGTCTTGCAACAGAAGAGAGCGAAATAGTATAAAAACGAGTATGACTTAGCGGACAACTGAAAGGATACAGCTTAGGTATATTTTCAGTGACATAAATGTACTTGACTACTTACCTTACGTTGTATTTTTTATGGCATACCTGCCTACGAAACATGCTGATAAAATTACACCTAAAAAGAATTGTGGGTGTTCACGACTACTAGGTTTGTAAAGTATTCTAAAGTTAGGTAGGTTTGTTATCAAAACATGCATTCATTCGGTTTTAAGGGATGTTTCAACACTACGTTACAGAAACGTATCATTTTTGAAGAAACATATGCTTCCCTTTAAACCCTAAGTTTTGTACATTCAGCATAAATTCAACTTGCACAAAATTATCTTGCAGAACACGCGCCAAAGATCGTGTTTTGTTGGCTCTCTGTAGCTCCCAAGAATTAAATACGGAAGCTGGTATATCTACTTGTCACAGTTTAAGGTAATTGGCGTGATAGGTAACCGTCAAGCTGGCCAGAAAGGCCCATTTAAAAGCTCCATAATTGAAATGTGATTTTCTTTCTATCGATTATGTCGGCTGCCGAGTTTTAAATTTTTTTTGTAGAATATTTCACAAATATTCGTTCACACAATAACGAAATTGCGTTCACGTGTGTTTCACGGGAAACAAAGGATTGCGATTTTTATTATTTCATGGCAAGTTTAGTTGAATTTTCTATATGTTGAAGATTGTTTCACTATATGTTAGAGATTGTTTCAGACCTAACGATTGAGTAATTCAGATAGATTTGATGTTCTAACAGGACTTCTTAGGTCATCCTTCTTTACATAAAACAACAAAATTGCATATACGTGAACTGTGTGATTCAAAATGTTTCCAAAAATATGCTTATTTATATACTCTAAGAATTTTTAGAAAACCGTTCGCGTGTCCCTTTCTTTTTAGTTTTATTTAATTGCGTACAAAAAGATCAAAATAATAAAGTTACCATTTGAAATTTTAATAACTTTAGCACTTTTAATTCAACTTATCTATTGCCCTAGATTACAAACTTGTTTGACAAACATTAATCGACAGTAGGTTTTTCAACCCGACTTTTTTTTTATTGCAGCTCATCTTCCTCGCCGTTGTCGCTGGCGCTCTTGCCCAGTTTATTGAGGGACAGGATCCTTTCTATGTGAGTATGCCATTTCGTCTTTAAGCGAAATTAATTTGATTTCTTCATACATCAACTTCGTGTGACAGCCTGCTGAATGAATTACTCAGGGGAGGTCGTGCATAGCGGATTATATTGATTACAAAAGAAAAAAAAAGGAAGCTTTGTTTGGTAGGTTTTAACACCTCGAAACGTCTGGATTATGTACCCCAAGGACAAGGACCTTTCAGCGGCGGGTTAAGAGGATTGCTTGTAATCGTGTGTAGAGGACTGCTTAAAGGGGCGGTGCAACAATTTGCGGACTTTGGCTAATTAATTGCGGGAATCGATCCCGGCCACATATAAAACGAAGGACCGAAAACTATTCTTTCCTGCTCGCCCTAGTTTTCATTAAAAAAAATAAAAGAAATCGGTATCTCTGGCACCCCTCAACTCAACATTGAAGCGGCACCAGCTTCGCCTGTGACGTCATTAAGAGTGGCGTTGGTTTCCGGTTGGTAACTTCTGGCTTCCGTTTCCCCAGCGCTCGCCGGCTCGCCAGGCTCGCCGCTTTCTCGCTCTCCCGCCGATTTCCGACCAACATGGCGGCATGTTCGGACGGCCTGAGCGACGTCGAGCGCAAGATGCTTGCGTATAGTCAGTCAGTTGGACTTGTGCGGCGGGCAGTCGAAGTCGAAGTCGAGGTCGAGACACCAGGAACAATAACGATACCATGATACTACGGACCACGACCAACGCACTCCGTCGATCGAGGGAAAGACAAAACGTCCGTGTTGCTCGTGTAGCCGCGGTAGGCGCCTCGGGCGTCGACTGATGATGGCGACGGCAAGTTTTGTTGACTTGCGGTAGATGGCGCCATAATAATTCATACCCTTTTAGCGGCAATATTAGGCTTTTGAAGCGTTTCTGCAAGCCTAAACAACAAGATTTTTAAAACTTAACCTTAAATCAAGCTTACAATTGCCTAACACTATCACTTACAAAAACCACTCCGAATGACGTCACACCACAGGTTCCATTTGCGGCCACCATGTGGCCGCAGGTTGGGAAAAAAAGTGTTTTTTATATTGCGATTACGCAGCGAAGTAGAGGTATTTTGGGGTATGGTGGCACTTTTTCTCTTACTTATGCCGAAGTAAACAATATAAAAAATACAAGCTGCACATTCGTTCAGTGTTAAAATCATTGCACCGCCCCTCTAACTAGAACATGGTCGAAATTTAAATAATACAAAACAAGCTTCTTTGTGTTAGAGGGCGATTTTCGCTCCGCTTAAACCGACCCTCGGAATGTGACAAGTAGACACAATGCTACCGTACGAGGTTACGACAACATGTGCTGTCAACACCTGTTGACCTCGATCGGCCCCTTTAATACGCCCACCTTTGCACTGGAAAGGCAACCTCGCCTAAGCCTTTAAACTCACATGAAATGTCTTCCCTTACTCAAAGACGACTCGTTGAGTAATTATACTTGCCACGCCTCGCGTTGTGTAAGAGGCGCAAACATACATTAGTAAATCCTGATCAAACAAAATAAAAAGAAACCCTCTTAGACCACATTGTTTGGAATTATTTGGAAGGGTGAAAGGTCTGATAATGTAAACAGCTTTGTTTCATGAAATGAAGCATAAATGAGTATAGATTGTATAATGATAATTTCTCTTGGCAAAGTTTACTTCCACATATTTGGCAGATCAAACGCTCCAGCCCTTTTGCGTCTAGGTACTGGCTACGATTTAGCAAACACCTGCTCTCTGGGATATTAGAAAAACTTTTATTATGAAAAAGCCACTTATTGAAAGATAACTTTCCCCAAGAAGAAAGATCAGGCCGCATTTGTATTAAGGCTATGAATTCCGCGTTTCTTGCAAGTCATCCGCGCGATATTGAACTTCAGCAAAATGCAGTCTGAGCGCCAAAGTAACTAAGGACTACCTTGAGATTACCACACACTGTAATTTTCGTACTGTTTTTTTTATCAGCTAGAAGTTTTTGCCTGCATGAAAATAATGCAAACGACTTAATACCAACGGTAAAAAGCAATACCTTGATAATATTTCAGTAGTATTTGTCTAGACATTTAGAATATCTGGTCATCAGTCCAACATAAACGTAAAAGTAGGTTCGCTAAAAAAAAGCTACGAAAAACACGGCTCTCACTGCTTTCTTTTTTTAAAATCTCATTGCACGGATTGTTAGGTCAAACATTGTTATTCTCATTGAAACGCTCACTTATCGGAAAAATCTCCAAAATGGAGCGCTGGTTTCCGCCACGAGCACTCTATTTAATCGCCCTTCGGGCTCGCATTTCCGCTGTTCCATTAGTTCACAAATCTACAATCAACCTTGCATTAATTGCACCGAACGCGCACGCCTCCGTTACGAGGACGTTTATAATGTTTATCTCAATGCGCGTTCACTATGCTAGTGTCACTATTACGATTGCGAACGACCCAAGGCCATGTACGCAAAGAGATCACGACAGACAAAAATTTAATTGGCAACAAAAATAAACGTTGCGTCGAAGCCTAACTGGTCCAAACGTATGGTTGTGAAACTAGACTTCTAACGAGCATGCCCTCGGAATATTTATATTGTTTGTACAATGCAAACGTCATTGATGACTGACTTCATTCTTTAGTTTGCCTATGTGCATACAAAAATGTTAAGCTAGAATCTACATAATCCGACATCAGCTTCATTCGAAAGCGGACCTGTCATAAAGAGACCTAGCACCTATGTCTTCAAGAATATGTTTTATTTTTCTTATTCGAGAAATTTATCTAGAGATCCGAGTGTGACCTAGAAACCTTTCACTAAAAAAAGGCCGCGAAACTCTTCACAGTTATCACTTTTTTTCTCTTTCTCTCTGCCTGACAGATTATAGTTGCTGACGGCTTAAAAAGCAAAGGATGTGGTGAATCCCCACCATCTTATCACCGTGGCGCACTATGGCCTTAGCAGCTTTTGCGCTAAGAAAACCCAATTCAATCGTGTTATCGTTCCGCAGCCAGTGAGCTTCCACCTTTACCCGATTGGAACACAAACAAAATCACAAAACGAGAGGGATGAGTCACTCCTTTCGTTTCTTAACTTGACAGTGACTATACGGGACTTTGCGAAGTCTCCCGCAGCGAAGACGGCTCCTCCTCTTGGACTTCCGGAAGGCTCCATTTGCTAGTGTTCTCAATAACAGCTTTGACTACCTGGTGTTTTGTAGGTTCCTCCTTTTCATAGTTTTGGTAACTTTATGTGACGTTTCGCTTCCCAGCCTCCCCAGCCATACACCTTCAGCTACAACGCCCCCAACCCGCTGGAGGGCGCCAACCACTTCCATGAGGAGGAGGCCGACGGGAACAACGTTCGTCGTGGCTCTTACGGCTACACCGACGCTCAGGGTCTCTACCGTCGCGTCGACTACACCGCCGGACCAGAGGGCTACCAGGCCTCCGTGACCACCAACGAGCCTGGAACCGCACCCAGCGCTACCGGCAACGCCGTCTACAACGCGCCAGCCTAAGCGACGCCGCTCTCATTTAATTTAAAAAAAGTAAACTGCTAATACAAGAAAGTACAAAAGTAATTATTTGTATGTTTATGCGCTTGTGTGTCTGTGTGCGTAACTGTCTGTTGTGTTGCGGGTGGTGGTTCTTGTTGGAAACAAAAAAAATAAATACATGATGTCGGACCTGACCTGTCTCGTTCAGTCTGCAAAACAACGACTTTCAGAGATCAGCTGTCTGGACAGCAGACCGCTCCCATGACACAGTGAATTTGTGTCGGGTTCCCCACAGCCTAGCGTTGCGCCTCAATATTTACGAAAAACACCTATAGAAAAACGGATGGACAGCAGGCTATACAGGAGGGCAGGAGGGTCCGTAATTTTTCTGTGTGAGTTAAAACTTGCATTATTCCTGGCCAAAGTTTTTCTGTTTGGACTCTAGTTGTCCAGATGATTTCGAATTTAGTCTACTAAGTTTACGGTTCGGGTAGGTAATTCGTGCGACAAGCGCCTTGGCGTCTTTATTTATCAAATATTTTATGAGAATTCAAAAGTTATTATTTTTATTTTACAAAATAAACAGCTTAGTTCAAGAACGGGTATCCTATAAGCCGCAGGGGCCACCCTTATTGCTCCAGCCACGGATTGAGCCATCATCATGTGAGTAACAGTCACTAAGAGCGCTGAAAACAAAGCAACTCAAATTGCGGTTGAGCATTCTCTGCCTCTATTTTGATATTGACTCCTGCTGTACCGACGTATAATTATATATTTTTTTTTGTATTATTCGAAGGTATTTTGGCATAGAACATTTAAAGTACTGAACAGACACGAGCCTACATAGATCTATAGAATAATTAATGAAATAAAAAGGGAATATTCGTGAAAGTCATTAACCAAATATTTGAGTCCTTATGCTCTCGAGTTTTTCAACTTTACGCAAATCAGGAACTCACAAAAAAAAAAAGAAAAAAAGATGGTGTCGTCGTTCAGCCAGGTAAATTGTGTTGGTGTTCTTATTGCATGATGGCCTCGACAGCAACACCTTTTGGCAGTGATTTTAAGCAGAAGTGGAATCGACGATCAGTTGCAGACCTTTTCTATGCAGGCTCCGCCATCTTGAATCGCGGAACTTCCGGTATGCGGGAAACTTGTTTTGCTCTCACAACACCACTAATAACAAATTCACACTTTAATTGCAACTGACTGTCAAGCTTTTTTTAATTTTTTATGAGCCTTTACTAGTTTCACGTTGTAATGCTTTTATTGTTTTTTTTGCATCGCGCATACTGGATTTGTCAACTACGTGGCTTAAAAATGCCTATAGGCGTCAAGTGTTAAGATTTTCAGCTATTCTATGAAAGGCTATAAAGAAAACGTGAAAAAAATTTGCCATCGGCTTTTTTTTTTTTGGTGAGCACTTTATTTTTATTTATAATTTGTAAACAGTTACGGTGTGTATTCTACGTTATAATTTGTACCTAATTTAGCCTGCATATTTTCATTTTAAAACCTCT